CTGTATGTTTTCATTTGTCATTTTTTTCCTGACCAATCTTAAACCCTTTCCCTCCACAGTTTCTGCCCGAATCCCCCCACTCCCCACAGCCTTAAAAATAACTAAAGCCAATGGGAGAATGAGTATTCATGTACAGTTTCCATATGTGGTAACTACGAGGCTCTTCTGTAATGAGATGAGAAGGAGTCAGTGTGAATGAGTCAGGATTCACAGCTGAGCTGCTGCAAACAAGGAGCATTCTTTGCAGCTCCCTGTTGTGGTACAAACAGCTATTTGAAATGATCGTGCAATTCCTGGACGTGTGTTGATTGAATCAGCCTGGAAGCCATCTGGAGTTTCTCTAATAGCAGAATTTCTGCGCAAGAGGACATTCGAATTCCAAGTGACAAACTTCCAATGTTTTGTTTTCGCTTCGAATACTGTGTGGGAATTTGATTTTCTTTTTGGGCCAGCCAGGTGTCTGACACATGCGGAAACCCATCACCGTACCTGAACGAGTATCCAAACCAAGCTGAGAATTCCATGCATCCCACTTACATGTGGAAATCCCCGAAATAGATTGTTGGAATTTATTGCACGAATGCAATTCCACAGACTCATGACAAAAACATTTCAAGCGTATCGTTGAGGTAATCTATCCAATCGGAAAATAAGGAAGGACAAGATATTGGATAGTCTGAAGATAATTATCTTCAGATTGACCAGTTCATAGAAAAATAGGAAGATGGGAATCTACAAGACTGAAAAATATTTTAGCCTCTTGGCCTAAGTTTTTTTTTAAAAAAGCCTCAATTTCTTGGTTGAAAACCTATCCACTTTCTTATTGAGTTTTCTGAACCAATCTGCATCTGTGGGTAGTCAATTGCACATATTCATCACTCTACGCATCATGTAGTTAAATCTACACTAGTTTTTTTTCTTCATTTACTCGTCAAAGTCTATGCTGTACTTGTGGACTCTTCGATCATGTTCAACATTATTAGAGTACAGTTTACCTATACCCTTTTGAGATCCAAATACTTCAACTATGTTCTCCTCAGCTGTATTTTCTATAGTGTGAACATCAACAGCTTCTATAGACTGTCTTGCAATACTCGAGTATCTACTTAGCTATTTATTTTGTTGTATGTTACATGGCTATTGGAATTGCATGATTTCTCCAGGTGGAGCAGCAGCAATGCTCTGTGCAACTTCAGTATAATGTTATGCGACGTGTACTTAAACCCTTCAGCTACTTTCCCCAGATCTCCTTTGGTCTCCCTACACTGTAATGGTGTTAGTGAGCCATCCACTGGTACATTCCAATCACTTCCCTGTGTTAAATTCTGTAATACAACTAGCCGTCAAGAATGTTTTAGCAGCAGATTGTTTACTCTTACTTGGAGGCTTTTTAATTTCAAACCTAATTCCTCGGCTTCTGTTCTGTCAGCCTGGTTATCATTGTAAAGACTTGGATCATGCCCTAATGAATTGCTGTCCCCAGTGGAAAAAAAGTTAAGCAAGTAGCTCCTAACTTTCTCCCAGTTGCTCCTTTTCAGTCAGTTACATTCACAGGGCTTTGGCTCACCGAGGAGTGAGTGTCTAGTACATTGCGGCTTCAGTTTATCTACAATCAGTGGTATTAGCAAGACAGGGATGTTCTCTTGTGGAGTTCACCCTGTCCATGTCGCTGCACAAGACATGGAAATTTTTTTTTGAATCTTATTAAACTCCTAATATATAAATATAAAGAAGACGCTATCCATTCTTGGGCTCGGTTACACTGGTGTCAGTCACTCTCACCTTGGTGATTGTTATCAAATGAACTTAGACATTGAATGTCAGCAGAGTTTTCAGCAGCTCTGCCTCAGGGACACTTACATCACTTGCTATCCAGTTTGGGATTAATTTACTCTTGTAGGTTGAAGATCGAATGGTGGACCTTCTGGTCAGTGTGACTCAATTCCACACCGGGCAGTGATGTTACCAAATTAGTTATTGGAATGTCGTCTGTCTCTAACGAGCCGGGATAGGCCAAAGTGTCTTGGGCATTTTGCTAAACTTGTTCGGTGAAGGAAGTACAGCCCATACAGTCTCAAGACTTTTACAATTGCACTTGCTGGGATCTAGGCGTGAGGTTTTAAGGGGCCCAGATCAGAAAGAAAGTACACACTCAGCTAAGGTTGGCTTTGTCGTGTCAACGTTTGGCGTTTTACTGTTTCCAGTACGCGGGTCGTAGAGCTCTCTACACACCCGACGAGCCCTTGCGAGCCACAGTCACTCAGGTTGGCACAGAAAGCGATGAGACGAGCGACCAAACAATACCACTGAGCTGAGCGAGTAGCAATACAGAATGACAGGCTGCTTATGAGGAGAGTCAGAAATGACTCACAGGTGTGCCAATCAACAACAAATGTGCACTCATGATGTATCTACTGCCTAACGTGGCTTTTCACAGTTTTTTGATATACTTTACCAGGATATACAGTAAAGAGAACAGCCAACGTATGTTGTCATATAAAAAAAAGTTAGAAAAGTGCAGTTTTTATATTTACAATCAGCCAATAGTGTAGGAGCGCCTGCTAAGACTCCAATCGATTGAGGACAGGTAAGAGACCAACACTTGCCATGTTGAGGAGAGGAGTATTCTCTCCGAACTGCATTCACAGAAAAGTATTCATGTTTATACACGTATTATAGTAAATAACAATCAACAGAGGAGCCAGCCGCTTGTCCTGTACATTTAAAAAGTTTTTTTTACACACTTAAAACATTTAGGTCAAGACGGCATTTACTGGGATTCTGTGTTTGTTTGATTAGGATATAAAGTGGTTGGGTTCACAGCTGCTTCTCAGCTCCTCAGTCAAACTGTCACCTTGAGGACTCCAGCGATCCATCGATTGACGGAGCGATAAATCACTTGGCCAGTGACGTCCGAGAGCGGTGGAACTCGTTTCAAATCAAACAGCGACCGTGGGTCCCTGGAGAGAAGAAGCAGGCTCAAGTTTATTTAGGGGAAAAGGAAACTCCCGCAGATTCCACACCAACACTTAACAGCTGAAAAGTTGGAAATATGGAAATAGTCGCCCACTGGGAGTGAAGCCGCAAAACAAATGTTATCATCCCCTCCTCCCCCATCCCCCCCAAAAAAAAATCCGTTAAAATATTATTAAACCCTGTGTCCCAAACAGCTCCCTCAATCTGCGATTTAGAGTCTTTCAACAAAGATTATCTCAGGACAAATCGTGAGGTGTTAGTGAACTTGTGTTTCCTCAGCCTCAGTCAAGATTAACTCCAAAATGAGCCTGGTAGCAGGCAGGAAGCCGAGTGGGGTATTAGCCCTGATGACAAACCCTTTTACATCCTGCAGCCCCACTGAGCAAACTGTTTATAAACACAAGCACAAAACCTGGTTTGCTAAGAATAGCAAAAGGTTCATTTCATCAGAGAGCCTGATCCTTTCCTCTTCCACGTACTCACTCTCCAGCAGGAGTGATTGAATAACGATTAGAAAACAAACTCTTATCTATTTGCTTTTCCCCCTTAGCTGAGTCTCAATCTTATAAGCGCACTTGCTGCCACTCTCGCTGAGAGTGGCTAACTTGCTGCTATAGATTGGGCTTCCAGTCTTGTGGCTCAATTTCACACTGGAGCCTCCAATCAATAATTCCTCATTGTAATAAAGTGTAAATAAGCTAAAAGGTCGCAACAACATTTTGCTCAGTTGAACCTCTTGATGTCACCTACTAAAGATAAGATAGAGATCCCTAAAGACATGAAAGATCTGGTAAGCTTAAGCTTTGCCTTTTCACATTTTAAGATATCTAGGTACAAGGTATTTAATTAATTCCTTGAACCATTGTCTCTTCAGTTTATTCTTAAGTCAATAGTTGGAAGCATTTAAAGACTCTGTCATCTTGTAGGACAATTGGTTGCCTTTATGTATGTGGTGTTAGTGACGGCCTCAATCAAATAATTACATTATAGTTACAGCAAATCATGTGTGTTCAGGTTTATTTTTAATGTTTGTATTTATAATGCAGGGATTACTGGAAGACACTTCCATATTGTATTAGAAGGTCCGATAAAGCATGTCAATCAACACCAGACACGGTGCGCTTTACAGAACTGTCTGTTGCCCTTAAACTAGTATGAGCTTTCAGCAGTAACTTGCCGTGAGCTCCGAATCAGCTGACAGCTATCTATTGGAACCGGTAATCTTAATAAAGTCCGATGAAGAAATGCTATCACACAGATACTGTGGAACGTTGATCAGACCAGTACGTGCTTGAGATCAGTTGGATCAATTCCAAGTTGGCTCATCCCAAGAGATTAAGAAAATGTGTGTCTGACCGCAATGTTGGTACATCATAGTCAAGAGATATGAAAAAAAAACACCTAAAATCACACAATTTATACTGCACCTTTAAAGAAAATATATCTTGCATGGTCTTAAAGGAGGACTGCAGTCCCAGGGTAAAAACAAATCCCTTTCATTATACCATCACATTGCTCTTTATTAACGTTAACATTTCTTAGCTCCTTATTTCATTTGGTCACCGCATTCTGAACACTTAGTGAGGCCATCTGGACTTCCATGACATCTTTTTCCTCTTGAGAATTAAAGGTACATGATGCCACCCATGATTCAATCCCTCATGACGTTGCTTCCTGGTTCATCACACTCTCGTTAGACAATTTACCTTTAAATATGCCTTTATTGCGTAATCTGAGCAGCAAATCTGCGCAAACCCTTTTTGCGGGGAGGATTACACAGAGAATACAAGTTTCGAGTTAAGTCAATTGCACATAATTCTCATCAGATGCCATAGGAGCCAGATAAACCTAAACGGTACATGTAACCAACAATAGGACCATCCACCCGTATCGGGCAACTGAAATAAGTGCACAATGTTATCTGATCCGAGAAACAGTCGAGAAAGAAATTGAAATGAAAGGATGTTCCCCCCCACCCCTCCCTTCCCAGTGCTGGTTTAGTTCTCCTTTAAGCCTCACTGAATCTATACCTCAGATTCCAGGCTGGAAACCCTTGCACAAGGTTTCCTCAGATAAGAAGAATTATCTATTGTTCTTGAAGATACAAGCTGGCGTTTTCCTCGGGTCCTTATCTGATGGCAGACCATCCTATTCCTGCCTGGTTGAGGCTCCCTGAAATCACTGTCCTCATATGTAGTCCTTTTTTCCAAGTACTTCATCATGAGGCCTTGCTCGCAAGCGAGATGGCCGGGCCTCGCCAGACAGCTGAACATTTCACTGGAATGTTTGTTCAGCTGCTGAGACTCCACATTGCGCTGCCAAATGTAGACGGGTGGGTTGGTGTATGGGTTGAGCCAGGAGTAGTGTCTGTGCACTACAGTGGAGGAGCGACGCAGTGCGGCTGAGCTTTGGAGACAGGCCTCGCTGTACGAGGGCAGCTTTGCAGACTGAGAGTGCTTGAGTCTATGTTGTGGGCCTGCGTGTCTGCAATCTGCATCCAAATGAATGTGGTCCTGTACATAGTTGTCTTGTGCTGTGTCTGAGGGTTGGCTGATGTTGTTTGCGATGGGGTCTAAGATCTCAGGGTTGGTTCTGGGAGCAGTTCTTGTTCTAGGGAATAAGTCTGGGATCTCCCCCTGGACCTTCAGCTTTTCGATGCTTCCACAAACATCTTGTAGCCTCGGTTTTCCTCTCTGCTCCCTTGTGGCTTTGACGTAAGAGGAGCGTCGGCCGAGCCTGTCCCTGCCTAGCAGTGGGATCTCTTCGGGCTCTGACTCGGTGTGGAACCTGAGGCAGGAGTTGCAGTTTGCGTCCATGTTCTGCAGTCGGTTGATGTGAGACATCGACGAGGAGTGATTTCCCAAATATCGCTTCTCGTTCAATCCAACGCAGGACTTGACTGCGTTCATGGTGTCCGCTCCACGCAAGTTGGTGCAATCGCCGAGAGAATAATGGGATAGTTTCCTGCTCCTGGCTAAACAAGGCGAGTGGAGCCTTCTTGGGAAGTACTTCCTGTTATAAATGTCGTGGTAGCACGATTCTTCTGAGCTAGCAAACGGAGTACTGGGGCTCTTGAAATCGTTTTCCCCATAAATCTTTCTGTCGTGCTGTGCACGCGAGTAGGTGATGTTAGTCGGGGTGCATGGGTGGGGATTGTGGATCACAGTAGACCCTGCAGGACATTTGGGGTCCTGGCATTTACCTGGGGAGTGGCTCTTGTATGTAATTATTGGGTGATCTGCCGTTATCCTCTGTGGCTCCATAAACTGCCGTCCAGGTCCCCTGTTCTGAAGAAGAGTCGGCGCTGTGTTTATTGTGCGGGGAATGCAATGGATGTGATTGCTGTTGGAGATGCATGGCACAAAGTGATGCTTGCTCGCAATGCCGCAGGCGTCTTCCATGGGCTGCGAAGTTCGATCGGGAAAACTGCCTCGTACGCTGTCTCCCGCGTGCGTCCAGTTTTCAATGGCCTTTGTGGCGTTTTCCAAAGAATGTTCCACATTGGCTGAAGAAACCATGTCCTTCGCCGTCTGCAGCATCTTCAACATGTTGGCGTGAGCGTAGGCTGTGGGCATCGCGGGAGGCACGATATGCATAGGACTCTCGGCTTCCTGCACGCCATTGAAACAGCTGTAGATCCCCTGAAACACCAGCAGCAGAAATGAAGATGGGTTAAAGAAAAAATGTACATATATTTACACTAGTTTTTTTTTCCTCTTTCTCTTTGGCTTCTATAGGATCTGTGTTCAAACACAGAACAGGGGAAAGAAATGAGAGGTCCTTCTTCTGTTCTGTTTTGGGGTTAGGGTCAGGTTGAGAAACATTTGTACTCAACAAAATGAAGGGAAGTTGGTGCTGGGAATGGAATGTTCTGACATCCAGTGTCTGCAGTGAACACCTCCAGTCAGATACGAAAAGCTCCTCTTCGCCAAGGTCGATCACATAAGATTCAACGGTTTCTGGCAATGTTTGATTTCCCCGCTTTGCTGCGGTTGAATTTGTAAGCACAAATAACGTTTGCTAGAGTTAGCAAACCAGTATTTGTGAAGACTTCACTGCCCCAGGGCAGTTGCAGGTTAAATACAGGATAGAGTTCCATGATACTTGAATTCAGCCTCAGAAAACTATCACAGCGTGACATTTCTATTTCTAACACCGACCTTCTGAATGACTCCTGAGACTAAAACGACGTTAATACACAAAGACTGCTCGCTGGGACCAGTGGAAGCTGCTGTGACAAAGTTGAGCGTGGAAGGTGTCACGGTTGAATAGAGTTCTGTTCATTTATCTTTGATTGATTTAGCAAAGCAGCACAAGAAAACTTCTAGCAGGAAACCAAGTGAATGATAATAATGATCCTTGCATTTGATATAACGCCTTATCGCGTCATCAAGATGCTTCACAAAATATGTTGTTCAGTGGAGTGACTGTGTTCTCTGGGCGAAACGCGGCAGCCAGTGGTTTGCGCACAGCGACGTCCCACAAGCAGGTGTGGAGCGAGTGTGTGAATTCGGGTGAGTATGTGCATGTGTGCTTGTGGTGGATAGGATGGGGAAGACATGTTAGAGAGGAGAGCAACGCAGTAGCTGTGCTCAACTGTGGAAGGAAAGGGTTTAAAGAGCTCAATGGCCTTTTCTTGTGCCAGGCTTTATGTTCTAATCCTCATGTGTGCGAGAACACTGTGAGCTTAAGCCGAGTTGATCTTTCTAACTGCGACATCTAGATAAGGAATGCAGATAGGAGCTTTGCGAGCCTCTCTTTGGGGGCAGGGGGGAGTGGGGGAAGGAATCTGTTAAATAAACAACAATTGATTAGAACGTGGAGATAATGAGGCTCGTTAATCTGCCGCTGAGGAAGATGTAGCCCCAGAAATGGGAATGAAAATCATCCCGATTTCTTCCAAATAAATGAAGGAGAGATGAACAGCTACAACCTATTGAGCCCCACAAGGCTGAATCTATGCACTGCAACATAAGACGCAAGTTCAGCCACTCATTTTATGAGTATGACACTAATATCATCACCCTGAAGGGATAATAATAATAATATTATCACCTGAAGGGGTGATAAACCTCTCCAAAAATAATAATAATAATAATCCCTCAAAAAAAACAATAATAATTTGGTCACTCGATCCACAACTGTTTGTGGGATACTGCTGTACTGCGTTTTGCGCACAAATTACACAGGAAATTCACTTTACAGTATATTCTATGAAGCGCTTTGAGACGTCTCGAAGACGCGTTAAGACATGATTGAGACATCTCGAAGATGTGATTGAGATGTCCTCCCGACGTGAAAGGCGCTATACAAATTAATTTGTATTGTATAAGGCGCTATATCAAATGCAAGAATTATTATTATTAGCATCTCCCTGACTTGCTCTGCTCAGGTACACGTCTCTTTCTCTCTCTCTCTCTCTCTCTCTGGACTGACTGGTCTGTGGTTATAGATTATTACCCTGCTAATTGCAAGAAGAAAATCCATTTTCTTTGATTTCCTCATGTGGTATCTCAGCTTCCAGTAGAAAAGATGCTCCCAGGCAAAAACTAGAAGGCTAAGTCCCATCGCGACCAGAAGCATGTAGAACACTCCGGCCATGTTATCGATGTCCAATTTGCTGCTCATCACTTCGTTCTTCTCATTCTCACAGATTCCAGTCAGCCAGACCGTCTGAAGCTTCTGAGTCTCTCCTGCAGTAGAATGACAACAGAGTACGAAGAAAGTGAAAGATCCATGAACTCATGACGTGCGATGATTGACTCATTTTATTTCATGTTTCAGTTCAGGCTGCGGTGTGTAATTGCATCTGCAGTCAGTGCTTGATCATTTCAAAAACTGCTGCCACTTGTCAGTTCTTGACGAAGATTCTCAGCTTTAGGACATTAGAAATTGTGTACAACTAACTAATCAATCGCAGGATCATTATTCCTAACGTTTAGAATTTTATAGATCCCCACCTCTGGGAATGGTCACTAGGAAGGGTGGTTGAGACTTTGGTTAAGAAAAAAAGGGTGTTTTTTTTTGGTTAAGAAAAAAAAGTATTCTCCAAGGATGAGAACAAAGGTGCCACAAAGGGCCCATTTTCAGCTGAATCTCTCGTGTTCCCTCACTGCTCACTTCTATTTCATTGATGTTATGGCCCGACAGGGTAACTTAATCAGTCTGAATCGCTCAGAGTAAATTGGAAACTGTTTTCTGTCTTTATTTTCTCAATGGGATTTAGAAATATCAATGAGGATGTAAAAACATTAATTGGCTTGATGGTTTAACTAATTGGTTTACCGCGGAAGATTTCTTTGCACAAATATAAGTGCAGAAGCCATTGAATCGTAGCAGAGTGAAGACTACGTTAGCGGAAGGTTTGGATGTTTATATTTAGGTTTGGGTTTCCGCAACTGCGGCAGGAATCTCAGGTGTTTTTCAGACTTTGTCAGCTTGGGACTCAGCGATTTGTGAATTTCACAATATAAATCTTGTAAACTGGACGTTGCAATTCATTTGGGTGGAAGAACAAAATGATCCGTATTCTCCAATCTCATTTACATAGAAATCTGCTTAGTGGAAACTTTACAGAAGCCAGAATGGTCCCTTGATTTTTTTTTAAAAAAAGGAACATTCAGTAAAATCTTTAGTGGGGAAATTAGTCAAAGGAATTGTATAAGATACTACTTGAGTGTTTAGCTAACCAGGTCATAAGGGGCAGGCTGTATGGATTTAGAAGCATTAGTTACACCTCATGAATCTAGTGAAATTGTTTTCGGAGAGAATTACGTTGGTGCAGGAGGAATGTTCAGTGAAAAGAATATACTCAAATGTTTCAAACAAGTTGTCATGTGTGTGAGGCTCCCCCCGTTAATCATATACACACTGAAAGATTTGCTATAAGTGGCAATGGATATGGTCCAATTGAGACTGAAGGACCTCGTCTATTTCCTTCCTCTCCTGTTGAGGCACGCCTCAAGACCCTTCTCTTTGACCGTCCCTTCAGCCACCCACCTACCCTCACTGCCTTCCACCCCTAACTGAGCCCACCCCTTCCCCACTCCCCGCTCAGGTCCTAATCCCTGACTGTTCAGCGCTTTGGGATGTCCTCCCAACATGAAAGGCGCTTTACAAATGTAATGTTGGCTGTACTGGTGGCTGAGAAGAGGCTTTGAACTTTGCAAGTACCTAAGGTTTGGGTTTAACTTAGCTGAGAATGCTGTTCATGCTCCATCCCCTACTCGAACAACAGTCCCAATGAAATGGACAGTAAGATTTACTGAGCACTAACCATCACCAAGGAACTGCAGCAGACCCAGATCTATGGGTCTCTTCCATTTAGACTCCTTCTGCATTGCTATTCCATAACCGGTGGTTGCAAACACCTTCCCACTACCAATTGTCACCAGTTTACACCCTTCATCCTTCCCGGCCATGTAGTTCAGCACAGCTGCATCATAAATAAAGGCATCCAGCTTCCTGAAAGAGAAGAGATAAGTGACTGGAAATGTTTCTAATGGGTTAACCATTCAGAGAAATGTTATTCCAGATCTATAATTAGTAGCGTGTACATAAAGAGACAACAACAGCACAAATTACACTTGCATAGCACCGTTCATATCGGAAAAACGTCCCAGTTCACTGAGCAGTGAGATGGGGCAAATACTCATCTCCATATCTAATGTGTAGTAGCTCCAATCATGGAGACTTGTTGTTTTGGCCCCGTCCTCTCCTGAAAGCATTGACTCATGCTGGAGCACATTTCACATTTCCTTGAGTATTTGTGTCTCTCTGGTTATTGTATGTTTAGACTGTGAATGCTGGCAGGTATTCAATGGAGAGCCCATCACAGTCGAGCCTGATTCAGTTCTTATTCAGTGCCCACACGTTGGCACTTCCAGTAGGGGAGACTGGTGATCAGAAGCGTAACCCTGACTAATTCTCCTCCCTCCCTGGCAGGGATCAGGCTATTGTGACACTGCCCCCACACCCCACAAGAAGCTCAGCTCAACCTCGGACCACCTGGCGTGCGAGACTCGACATCAAACCACGTGATGCACTTATCTGCTGGGTTGCCAAGCGAGCTCAGTGCAGTTAAAGAAACTGATCCAGAACCTGATCCCAGTCAGCTGTGCAAAGTGCTTTCAGGCACCCTCCCAAAGTGAAAGCTGCCATGTTAATATAGATTATTGCTGTGTTTGTCCCCCGCAGCTTACCCTGATTTAAGGCTGTTTAGTGCATCTTCCACGGAGCGCTGGTTGTACTTGGTCATGTGCGAGTGCATGTCCGGGTAGTTGTTTTTGATGTTCCTCTCAGTGCTTCCGTTGGGCACCGTGCCGAAACGGAACGGTGGGTAATGCTCCTGCGGCTTCTGAAACTGTTCACAGAAAGAGTGGCACGTTACGTTAGAAGATGAGAACGTTCGTTAAATATTTCATTCGTTCAACAGAATCAACCTGTAGCTCAGCCATGTAGCTCAGTGGTGAGAGCACTCGCCTCGCAAGCGAGAGGACCTGGGTTTGATTGCTGGGCCGGGCGAAATGTTGGGCAAGTTTCCTTACTCCACACGCCTCTGTTTACCCAGCAGTAAGTAGGAACCCGGTTGTTAGTCGATTGGTGGATCGCTTTTCCGGGGGTGGTAATCCCTTCAAAAAAAATGATAATAATAATTTGGTCACTCAATCCCCGACTGTTTGTGGGACACTGCTGTGCACAATAGGCTGCCGCGTTTCGTGCATAAATTATCTCGAAAGACGTCCATTTATCCTCATCGGTGTTTTCCTTGAGCAAACAACGCCCTCCAGTCAATATCACTGATGTCAGCTCTAATACCCTTAGTTTGCCTGATGAAAGGTGTTTGGATATTTGGTTAGTGATGGTTATTACCATTGACCCCCAGAGGTATATTTCTCCTGTTACAGACCTGTGCATTGTGAATCATGTAAGTTCAATGAAGTGCCCAAGCAATCCACATTTGTTCAATAAGGATTGATAGCCCACCTGTAAATTACAGATAATGCGATGCGTTTCCGGAATAGTTACATGAAATTACATAGACTGTTCAGGGCAGAAACAGGCCATTCAACCGACTACTCCATGCAAGTGTTTATACCAGCGTCTTGGGACGTGCTCCTGACGTGAAAGGTGCTATACAAATGTAATTTTGTATTGTATACTCCACAACAGACTCCAACCTTCTCCATTCCCTGTACCCTCGAACTGCTCTATTCCCTTTGCCCTCATGTGTGCAATTTGTCTCTAAGTTGGTTCTGAAAGGATTGCAGAGTGAACAGTGAAGTGATGATTGTTAACTGTGTAGTCTCTGTATTTAGAAGAGTGAAGGGTTGTTTTACACAAAGCATGTTCCTTGAAACTTCAGCGGTCAATGCCTCACCTTGTTGTCACTGAGACCCGAGACAGTATCAATGAACTGCTCCTGGATCATGAAAGCTGCCAGGTTTGCTGTATAGCTGGCAAGAAAGATCACAGCGAAGAAGGCCCAGATCAGCACCATGATTTTACTTGTCGTTCCTTTGGGATTTTCAATTGGGACAGAGTTGTTGAACACCAAAGCCCAGAGAAGCCACACAGATTTTCCTATCGTGAACGTTGGACCTCCTGGATCTGTGTAGAGAGTCAGTAAGGTTCAGGCACGTGCTCTCACTACCGTTATACATATTGCTTCAATCAGATTTTCTAACTTGCAAATACTTAGGTGACAAGTAGTGTGATTGACCACTACACGTTCAGCTCTAGTGTCCTGGGGTGGTCTCTTCATTCTGATAAACGAGAGGGGAGTACAATGAAGGAATTTCCTGGAACCAAGGATGGAATCCAGGTCTCACAGGTCAGTTGAAGATCTCCTATGTCTGACAATAAGCTGCTATAGTGGTTCAAAACTCTCCTTTCACCTCTCTGCCCTCTGGGCATTGGGTAGCACCATGTGTTAGAAGACTTTCTTTTCACCTCTGGGACCCAAGATTGAATGTAGATCATAAAAGTAGGATTCAATATTCTCTTTATCTGATAAGCGAGAGTAGGATAGTGTGTAGAACATTTTCACCTGCTGCAGTGAGGGAATTATATTAGGAATGAGGACTTTTCGGTTTCCATAGAGGAAATGAACAAACAATTGAAATAAAACTGTCAAATATAACCTCTCCCTATTTCACAGCTTCTATTCTGATTTTCTTTGGATACAGTGGCATGACTTAAACCGGGGAATTACAGACACAGACCCATGTATCTGACGAAAGGTCATCGTCCTGAAACATTAACTCATTTTCCTCTCTCCATAGATGCTGCCTGACCTGCTGCGTGTTCCCAGCGACTTCTGTTTTTATTACAGATCTATGTCTGATGGTTTCCTGGGAGCATCTCTTGAACTGGATAGTGGCTGCGAATTTAGCTGTCATTAAATTGTAAGATCAAAAATGTATGGAACAGGCTCCCTAGGGAGACAGTGGAAGCAGAAAATGTCTGTTTCAAGAACAAATTAGATAGGTTTCTGCTAGAAAATAATATCTACAGTGTATAGTTTGGGTCATGACATTACAAGCGATTGGCAGGATGGTGGAAGGCGAACTAAATGGACCTTGGTCTTCTTTCACCTAGCAAATGCTTCTGTTCTTAAAAACTCTGGACGACTGTCACTGTAACCTGCCTTGCAACTATCTTGTAACTACCCGATGTTACCAGGAAAGGCAATGAAGAAAATGTCATCTTTCATCCTAACAGTTCCAATACAAAAAAGGGATTTTTTTTCTCACTTTTTAATTTAATAGTACATATTCCTAACAACAACACTGGTGTTTATGGAGTTCTCTACCCCAGAAGGCTGTGGATACTTAGTCATTGAACATATTCAAGACTGAGATCGATAGATTTTTAAAAACTAAAGGGATAAGACAGGTAAATGGAATTAGGTGGAAGATCAGTCATGATCTTATTAATTGGCGGGGCAGGCTCGAGTGGCCGAATGGTCTACTTCTGCTCCTATTTCTTATGTTCTTATGTTTGAGTTCAGTTTGAGTTTGAGTGCTGATCAACTTACTTTTACCATCGTTCAGGTTTCTGTTATAGCCAACAGGACTGAAGTACTCGAAGATGAAGACTGTGATAGCCACAACAGTCAAACACATGACGAACATCATCACCCACACTGCAGGGCTGTACGGCTCTGAGAGAGAGAACAATAGAGAGTAATGAAGTGCATCGCTGACCGAAGGCCTCTGGTATATCAGAACAAGGTATTAATAGCTTCTCTGTCCAAATGATCATTTCGTGCAAAAATAGAAATACATTGAAATAAAATATACATCCTCCTATTATTACAGCTTCCTTGTTCAGGCAGAATTCTATATAAAAAGGTCTTACTATTATTATCATATTATTTAGCATCTATCCTAATTTCCTGCATTAGATTTGTAATCTTGTCCTCTGTGTTGCTAATTTCTTTTTCTATTATTTTTTGTCCACTTGCCGCCTAATACCTCCAAGAGCCGAATGGCTATTATTCATTTTCAGCCTGCAAGTGATTTATGTGGCATTGCGTGACCTCAGAACTGGAGCAAGGTCAACACATGTTGTGTGAGCTCCAGGACATTGACATTAGTGAGGCAGACGGTCCAAATAAATTGTTGGGGCTGAAAACCTATAAATCCCATGGGACAGATCAACCCTACCCCAGGTTACATTGCACGACTAGGGAGATTTGTCAAGTGCGTTCTGTCGTTGTGAAGAAATTTGTGAACGATGAGGAGGTTCCAACACATTTATAACGAGTAAATGTAGTTCCTATATCTGCCAACTTTGTCTGCTTTTACTTGTCTTTATAATTTACTCAGTTCTTGGGAGTGAAACAATAGCTTTTCATTTTTATTCTACTTGCAACTTCCTCCTTTGCAGTTTATTCTTCAATCTCCATATCTTTCTTCAGCGGTTCATTATTTTGATGTATTGCTTTACTCCCTGCCAAGCAATCAATGCTTGTCGGGGTCTGGCAACAGCCACTAGTTAATCCTTTGGTTGGTAAGCATTTTTNCTCTCTGCGGCGTCTTCATTGTACATTCTGTGCAAACCTGATCTCGTTCATGGAGTGCATGCAATGCGGCAGCTGCACAAGAGTTCTTGGAGTGAAAGACTGCTATCACATCATCTCAACTGTCGATCATCAATTACACGTGTTCATTTCCGAATTGTGGTTTCAATGTCAGAAGTGTGAGATCATTGACCAGACAGACACCGGTTCACTGTGATCAAATACTGTTCAGCCCTGAAAGACATTCAGTCTGTTTGAAATCTCTGAAACAAATCCATCACGGCTGCTGATTTGACTATCGTTTTCCAGTGTCTATTCCTTTCCTTTCTTTCTTACTCCCTCCCTCCCTCCCACCACCCCCCCACCCCTCCCAATTTCATTGTGTGTTTTTTTTCAATCGTCAATGTGCATTGTTCGATTCATTTCAGCTTCCTCTCTCCTGGGTCTTCTGCAAGCTGAGAGGATCAAAGCACTGAGCACTTGCTCCAGCACAGAGCAGAAGGTTCAAATTCCAATCTGCTCATCAGCTAATCTCGGCAGAGTCAGCAGTTGGGGTGATACGCTAAGCCACAGACAAGGGTGCCATTACTGATCACCATGCAGAAGCCCCTGCTGGAAGGTGTATGTAGGAGGACATCGGGTAAGGACGTAATCAGGCTCAGCTCGGATACTCCCCTTCAGTACAATGAAAGCCAAAGCTCACAGATAAATAATGCACACCCTGGGCGACGGCTTGGAGGATGACCCGTAAAAATGTACTCCAACAGAAGAAAATGGGAATCGAATGGTTTCACGAAAGGAGAGGGAGAGCAACAGGACCATCAACATCGATTACCCACCTCTCCAGAATGGGCAGCATCGTTCAGACTCCTGCACAGCTGTGCTCCTACCACTCTAGTGCTCTGAGTAAGGTCAAATTACTTCCAAGCAGTGTGACAAGGCAACCTTTTGCATTCTATATATGCTTTGGGAGAGGCAGTGTCCTCAGCTGAGTTAAAGATAAATATATCTCCTGAACCATGCCTGCAGTCAACACCTTTAACCGTCTTATTTCCTACTCACCACTGTGTCTGTGAAGGCTTAGCACAGCACTCCAACTGCTGCCTCTGCTGAGATAATGATAATAATAATCCTTGCATTTGATATAACGCCTTATCACGTCTTCGAGACGTCTCGAACCACTTCACAGAATATATTGTACAGTGAATTGACTGTATATTTTGTGAGCGAATTGCACACAGCAGTGTCCCACAAACAATCGGGGATTGAGTGACCAAATTATTATTATTATTTGTGAAGGAATTATTACCCCGGAAAAGCGATCCACCAATCGACTAACAATCGTTTCCTACATACTGCTAGGTAAACAGGGGCGTGTGGAGTAAGGAACCCTACATTTCGCCCTGCCCGGGGATCGAACCCAGGTCTCTCGCTTGCAGGGCAAGTGCTCTAACCACTGAGCTACAGGACTCCACAGCCATTTATTTGAAACATGAAATCAAGGTCCAATGTTCTTGACAAAGGGATGGTATTTACCTCGCATCACTCTAAATTAGATTAATTAATTAGTTAATTAATCAATTAATGGGGCACCCAATTATAGAAAGTATGTCAGAGTCAAGCAGAGGGTGCAATGCAGACTGACTTAAGTTGATACAATACAAATTAAATTTGTATAGCGCCTTTCACAACAGTATAGTTATGATGAAAGGCTTATATACTCCAGTAACTATATTCATTCGAGCAAAAAAAGGTTAAGAGGGGATCTAATACAAGTATTCAAAATTATGAAGGGATTTCAGAGGATAAATAATGAAAGATTATTTCCACTGGTTGGTGAATCAGAATCAAGGGACAAGATTATTACCAGAAGCATAAAGCGGGTGGTTAAAAGATTTTTTTTTACACAAATCTGTTTGATTGTAGAAAACCGAACTTCAAGTACTATTGAAACCAAGCCAATTATGTCATTTAAGGAATTTGATGAATACTTAAGAGTCTGGGGGGGAAAATGGGATGAGAGTAGATTGCAATGTCTCCAACTGAGCTTCACATGCCATACATTTTAGGATTCTATGTACTTTTATCTCTCTGGCACTTACTTTTCTAATCGTTGTTAGGGCAGGGGATGAGTTTGCTCTCTTCTACTTATACAATCTTCTCCAGCCCATATCCTCCATGTTTCCGACTCGGATGGACAGCTCACTCTACACCATGTTTGCAACACAAGAATAGCTGGGCTTTCAACCACTATGTCTTTGTCTCTTCCAAAACTTCACTGCCATCCTATCGCTCCCTAACCTACGAAGACCTCCTAAAATTTAACATTGCCTTCAGTCAACACCCTTAACTGTCTTATGTGCTACTCACCAGTGTGTCTGTGAAGCACGTTGAGACATTCTTGTATGTGAAAGATGCTATACATATGCAATACTGATGTTTTGATTTTTAACTCAGCTCGTGGTCACATGCAAAGAAACGGGTGTTTACAAATAAAGACTGAGCTGGTCACCTAGAAAAGCTGATGGTGAGACAGTCCCATTGCTCCTGGCGACCATCACGCTGATCCCGGTTTCTACAAACGGTACGGAGAAATCCACAATCTCGGAGCGTTCTTCGTTTATTGTGAGAGATCCAATGGCCATGTCAGCTCGCTTATAGAAGACCTGAAACCGGAAATACAGTCAATACGAGAACCTTCTGCAATGCCCAGCAGTGCTGCTAGCTTCCTCTCTGAATTTCTTCACTTTACGTTCTATTCTGTGAAGCGCTTTGAGACGTATAAAAAACGTGATAAGGTACTATATCAAATGCAAGGATTATTATTGTTAAAATTGGAACTGTTTGAACTGACAGCAAAAGTTAGAAAAGCTATAAATGCTGATGAATAAGAAAGTTCTTGACCAGAGGGACGTTTTTTTCCTAGCATCACTCCATGCATGATATGCTGCTCAAAACATTTCAATGGCATTGAGCCATTGTTTGGAGATTATCGTAGCTTTGGGACGAGGAAAAGTTACAGACAGTTTATTTTTGAGACTATTAGGGCCAGTTAGAGCAAAAAATCGAAGCGACAAGAAATTAATGAATACATTGAGACTAATTTGCCTCGTATAGAGAAGGAAAAACGTCACCTGTCAGCAGTGAAGCAGAAGGTCACCCTTCCTCACTACTCCTGTTTGCTATGGTTCTGGACATATGGTGTGTACAATGACCTCTTGTTTGATCAAGCGATGTTGATATAGAGGCAGCAGATGTGAATGACCACTTGATAATCGAGGATATGCACCAGCGCCACTTCAGCCGAAGAGACATGATGTGTGGGCTTACCACGCAAAGCCATTCAGCCTCTCATCCCCTGTTGATGTTGCTTTATATACTGTGTCACAAAAGCTAATACTCCAGCATGGAAGACGGAAGAGGCCTTGGGACATGCTCACTATTAACACAACCTGAGGATCTAGAAACGCTGTGATTCTGTAGGGACATGGGATTGTGTCTAATTTACCATTGGCCATGCAGGCAGCATTAAGCGTATATACAGGGTGACCAAAAACTTGTGTTACCATTACAATGTCTAATAAGTCTTAAAGAAATAATGATTTTTTTTTAGATAATAGAGTAGAAATCACGACCTTTTGATCACCCTGTATAAACGTATGAGTGTTTGTTTAATCTGTCAATGACTCTCATTAATAATAATAATAATCCTTGCATTTGATATAGCGCTTTTCACGTCGGGAGGACGTCCCAAAGCGCTTCACAGAACACACTGTAAAGTGAATTGACTGTATATTTGTGGGCGAACGCGGCAGCCAATTGCGCACAGCAATGTCCCACAAACAGTCATAGATTGAAAATGACCAATTTATTATTCTTTTTGGTTTTTGGAGGGATTATTATTAGGCTCTGTGTGGAGTAAGGAAACTTGCCCAAGGTTTGGCCCTCTGCCTGGAATTGAACTCAGGTCTCTCACTTGCAAAGCGAGTGCTCTAACCACTGAGCTACAGGACTCCTCATTGATGTGCACCCGAGTATAGTAATCTATGCAGATTGTTGCTTGCAAAGATTTGCAGCCAATGCAACAACCATTTGCAGACGCAGAAAAGCACGTCTGAATCAATCCAAGTTATTATGTCTATTATAATAAAATGCTTTTGTCTGGTGGTACTTTCTAAAATTGTAATCATTATGCTGAAACTCCAAATACATAATTGCGTTTGACCTTCATGCAATGAGGTTCCCATTTTTGTACCTGGCACAGCCTCTAATTATTTTAATATTTAATAAATATGGCAGACATAATCATCGCACTGAAATAAAGATGTAAACATTGCAGCACATGAATAGTCTAAAAAATAGCATCTAATATTAACCACTTGGGTACTGCACTGTACATATAATAATCCGTGCATTCGAGGGGATATGTTCAGCCATCTCTGCCCTGTCCACCGCAACCCTCACAACACCTCTCCCTCATGACCCAAACCCCATCCATCCCCTCTCCCCGTCTCTCTCCTCATCTCCCAGCTCCACCTTCTGGCCCCTCTCCTGTCCGAGGTCATCAACCTCTCCTTGCCAACCGGTTCAGTTCCCAACCCCCTAAAAGCAGCCTAATTATCACACCCATCCTGAAAAAAATCTTCCCTGGACCCCGACCGCCCCATCTCTAACCTCCCTTCCTCTCCAAGGTCCTGGAACGAGTCATCACTTCCCAGCTCCGCTCCTTTCTTTCTCGCCATTCCCTCCTTGAACCCTCCAATCTGGCTTCCGCGCTGCCCACAGCACGGAAATAGCCCTGGTCAAAGTCACTAATGACATGCTGAACATCTCAGATCAAGGCTCCCTCTGCCTCCTTGTCCTCCTCGACCTCTCTGCCACCTTCAACATTGTCAACCACTCCATTCTCATACACCACCTCTCCACTTTACTCAATCTTCACGGATCTGCCCTTGCCTGGTTCGATTCCTATCTAGCTCAACGTCTCCACTTTGTTGCCTCTAACGGTTTCTCCTCCAGCTCCCGCACTGTCACGTCTGGCGTCCCCCAGGGCTCTGTCCTTGGCTCTCGCCTCTTTAATATCTATATGCTCCCCTTTGGTGACATCATCCGCAGAATGGGGTCAACTTCCATATGTATGCGGATGACACCCAACTCTATCTTTCTGCCTCCACCCTCAACTCCAGGACCACTGCTGTCCTGACAGACTGCCTGTCGGACATCAAGTCCTGGATGAAGGCAAATTTCCTACAGTTCAATGGGAACAAGACTGAAGCCCTCCTGATTGGCTCACGCCAGCGCCTCGGCACCTCAGGCTCTGGCAGCATCAACCTCCATGTTGCACACTACAACTCACCAGCCAGTCAGGAACCTGGGTGTCTTGATTGACCCTCAACTGTCTTTTCTTCCCCACATCCAAGCCATGACCCGCTCTGCCTTCCTTCACCTCTGTAACATCGCCCGACTCTGCCACTCCTCACCCCTCAGGCCGCTGAAACTCTTGTTCATGCCGTCATCACCTCCAGGTTCGACTATGCAAATGTTAGCTTGTCAGCCTTCCCAACTCCTCCCTCCACAGGCTGCAGATAATGCAGAACTCTGCAGCTCGTGTCCTCTCCTGCACCAAACTCCGCGACACCATCTCCCCCATTCTCGCCTGACTCCATTGGCTCCCTATCCTTCAGAGGATCCAGTTCAAGATCCTGGTCCTCACCTACAAAGCCCTCCATGGCCTCGCCCCACCCTACCTCTGTGACCTCCTAACCCCCTACCAACCCGCCCGTTCCCTCCGCTCAGCCGGCTCTGACCTGCTTCACGTCCCCTGAGCCACCCGCCCCACCATTGGTGGGAGAGCCTTCAGCCACTCTGCCCACAACCTCTGGAATTCCAGGCCCCAATCACTCCGCCTCGCCCCCTCCTTAGCCTCCTTCAAGTCGTGCCTCAAAACCCTCCCCTTCGACCATGCCATCAGCCACCCCCCTTCCCCTCCCCTCCCTTCTCCCTCTCTAACCCCAGCTCGGGTGTGAAATGCTGTACACTGTCCAGCACCTTGGGACGTCCTCCCAACGTGAAAGGCGCTATACAAATGTAATCTTGTTGTTGCTATTGTTGCACTTGATATAGCACTTTATCAGGTTGTTGTAGCTTTCTGACTATGGTATTGCATTTATATAGCACCTTGGGGACATCCTCCCGATGTGAAAGGCGCTATATAAATGCAATTTGTTGTTGTTGTTACACTGGACATGTGCAGCTCTCTGACTGTGGTATTACACTGCATTTGTGCAGTTCTTTGACTCTGATATTATTCTGTACATGTATTGCAAGCAGTCCTGCATATTGCAGTCGCTAAAGTTGGACCTTTGAGGTTCAAGTGGCTTAGTTACAAACCGCGCAAAGTCTTCATCAGTTGAGCCGGGTGCCGTCTTTCATTTTTACGGTTTCTCTGTGCCAAGTGTGGCATTAACCCAAACCGGAAAGGATAAATCAGGTAAATGATGTTGACCATACCTCACCGATCATTCCATTCCAGATTCCTCGAACCTTCTTTCCGTGTTTTCCATTTGTCACGAGGTAAAGGTCGTAGGAGAACTTCACAGTTTTGGACAGTTTTTTCAGGATGTCGATGCAAAACCCTTTACAGCACAGCTTGGTGTATGGGTCAACGATACTCGTTGCGCTGAAATCCACAAGAAAAGAGGTGATGAGAGAAGATGGGCTACACACTGAAGCAACGCTCTCCCTTTAAAACTTGCTCACAATCTGGACGAGGTGCAGTGTCCACAAAAGTGCTAGAAATACTGGCTCGGTTTCAGTTGGATCTGAAAGAGGCCCTAGACCCCAAGTGCAGGCCCACGCTCTGCTCTATTTGAGCGGAATCGAACACCTCTCGTCTCCCAGTGGATTAGTGACGTATTGATTCCAGTGTCTGACAAGAGAAGCTGACACAACACTCTCTGAAACATTCCTGTCTTTGACTTACCAGTCTGCGTCCGATTCCCTATGTGAATTTCCTACGAGGCAATCCCCAGAATCTGTAGCTCCACCTGAATTTGAGCTCAGTCTAAGTTGCCACTTTAATGCAGTGCGAGGGCAGAGCTGCATTGTCAGAGGTGCCATCTTCTGGATGAGACGTTAAACCAAGATCCTGTTTCTGTGTTCAGTAACAAGGGGATCAGCTGGGGATGATCACTGGAGAGTTTTGGGGAATTCAGAAGAATCTTTTTCACACAGAGAGTTCTTAGGAAATTAAATACAACTTAGCTACAAGTGGCTATTGTGGCTGAAACCATAACATTGAACACACTCGTGTTCAAATCCCTTCACTCTCTGGCACCTCCCTTCCTCTCCGACCTCCTGACTCCCCAATCCACCTCCCCAATCCACCCTCGCACCCTCCACCCCACCATCGGACGTCACGCTTTCAGTGCTACGCCACAAACACTCTCCCTCAATCCCTCCAGCTTGCTCCCTCTCTCCCCTTTTTCAAGTTCCGCCTGAAAACCTTCCTCTTCGACCGTGCTTACGGCCACCTTCCCCCCTCCCCCCGGCTCGGAGTCAGGCTCCGCCACTGTTAAGCGCTCTGAGACGCTGCCCTGGGTGGAGGACGCTATACAAGTGCAAGTTGTTGAAAAAACAGTAAATGTGTGATAAAGTCTAATAACATAAGGTATAATGTTCAAAGAGGATTGATTTAAGTCCCTATGTGAGTCTGTTCACAACAATGAAATTAGGGTCTTCACAAGATCAAAAGAGAGGTTTGATGAAGAAGGTCCTTCACCCAATTTGATCTCTGACATATAAATAGAACTATCCAATGCCATTTCCCTAATGTATAGGGTGCAGTCATCCGGCATTGTGCTATGAGGCATTGAATACCCTTGGCCCTCCTCTGTACCTCCAGAGCCTGAGTAGCCCCCTTATAAGGGACCAAAACATTATGTGGTACTCCAGGTGCAGTCTTATCAGACCACTGTACAACTTAAGCATAACATCTAGGGATCTGAACTCAAATGATTTGGCAATATAGTCCAGCATCCTGTTTACCGTGTTTATCACTGCTTCACACTGATTTGGAGATGTTGACCAATGAGCCAACTAACACCCTAAAGTCTTATTCATCTTGTTCCCTTGTGGAACATGCACTTCCTATTGACATTTCCTATACACAAAGCTGTACTTCCATTCACATTCGCCTGAAATGAACTTCATTTGCCAGCGATCAGCTCGGCGGCAAAATATCCCTCTAAAGCTTGGTCAATCTCCTCTCTCATCTCTCTGACTGCCCTGGAGGTACTAGTATTTCATCATAATTAATCTGTTAACTTTTAAAACTTACCCAAAGCCCCTGCCTTGCTCAGGTCAAAATCTGGAGCGCACAACACCTTCCCTTGAAATTGTATTTTACAACATAAAGGAAGACAGTGGTACCTGTGGAACCACCTTATGAGGAACCGAGCAGGAGGGAAGGTTTGAGAGAGGAGGTTGAGGGGGAGAAAACCCTCTGATTCATGTTAAAAGTTGCAGCTGAAATATGCGGCAACGCTGAGCCGAGTGTATTTGTTCAGATGCTGACAGTTGCAGACAGTATTGCCGTGTGTGTGTGTGTGTGTGTGTGTGCGCTGCTCACCTTTCACTGTGGTTGGCTTGCTTCCTACAGGGCACCGTGTTCCTCACACAGCCACCGGTCATGGGCTCCACCGCCTCCACGATCACAAAGGGCCTTTCCTCCAGCGTGGCCACAGTCAAGTGGTGGCTGTCAGACACGGGCTGTAGAGAGGTCCCGTACCTTGGCCACACGGGATATTTCATTCTTATCAGACTGTTCTCCCATTTGCCAACCTGTGTGACAGGGTAGAGAGGTCTACGTAAGGCATATGTTTAGTGTCGGTTTTTCAGTCACCTCCACATCAAAAGTATCTTGCACTAACGGTTAATGAGCACTGATACACTTCTCCAATACTCAACCTGGAAACTCCCAGGAACAGCTATTCCCTCCATTATTGAGCCCTGATAATAGTAATAATAATAATAATCCTTGCATTTGATATAGCGCCTTATTATGTCGTTGAGACTCAACGCTTCACAGGATATGCTGTAAAGTGGAGTCAATGTGTATTTTGTGGGCGAAACGCGGCAGCTAATTGCCCACAAACAGCCACGGAGTGAGTGACCAATTTTATTTGGGGGATTGAAACTCCCACCTCTTTTCGAATAGTGTGGTGGGATCTTTAACAGCCTCCTGATGCGGAGTATAATGTAGAATAATATCGTGAGTTTTGATACTGAGGCTGTTTCTGGATCTCTCTGTTACACCTTAGCACTCACATGGTTATAAGATTGGTTTGGATGAAGAATGCCCTGCCCCTTGTGCTCTCATTCATCCACCATATCCACCTTTTAAATGTCTCCAAAGCCTTATCCTTAACCATCCTTCCTGGTAACCTGTTCCTGTCATTAATTACCCTCTGGTTAAAGAAATACTTCCTTGTGCCTTTCCTGAAATTGCCCTTTGCAACCCTGAACATGGACCCTCTTGTTCTGCTGTCTCGATGCATTCAAAGCTATTGTGCTAAGTTTACTTTCTCAAACCTATTTAAAATCTTGTATACCTGTGTAACGTACCCTTTGAGACATCTTGTTTCAAAGCTGAAGACCCCTAGCTTGTCTAATTGTTACTTGTAACTCAGTCCTGTAACACTGGAGATTATCCCTGCAACTCTCTGTTGCTTCACTGATTGATCCTTCACAGTAACAGCCCCACGTGGGACTCTCGCTCTTATCGAGCTCCTATTTTATATACGAGCAGCCTCTCTGAAGCCTTCCGCCTGCATAAAACTGTACTTTTGTTGTCCAAATATTCTTTTCAGCATATTTATTTCATAGACCGTGGATTTTAATAACACATGGCATTTCTATGTAAATCGTTTTCCTCTTGAGTGGAAACAATAATTGATTGCTACAGGATTGCCTTCTGTCTGGTTTCTGTCTAGCAGATTTTTTTTTGTCCCCCAATGATTCAGCCGACGATAGAGTGCGTGTTTGTTTTAGAAACCCTAATACTGACTGACTGACTGTACAAGCCCAGTGCAGTGCAGACTCAGATGTTGTAATTATTGCTGTCTTTGTTCAGTCACACCTAGCTCAGCTCGTAGATTATGATGAAGAGTTGCATCCAAAAGGTTGAGCTATATTTTCTTTTGAGTTGCTGAACAAGGGCGTTTCGTCCACAAAATACACAGTCAATTCACTTTGCAGTACATTCTGTGAAGCGCTTTGAGATGTCGAGAAGACGTGATAAGGCGCTGTATCAAATGCAAGGATTATTATTTATTATTATATGTGAATTCCATGTCTGGTGTATTTTGCTTTACGTCTCGAACGGGTTTGCTGACTGACAAAGTGATCGCAAAAGACCTTAAGGATAGAGAGCACTTACCATTTCCCAATACCTTCCTCTGTTCAGTGTCATCACCACCATGATAGGTCTCACCAAATAGCCGTCCTCATTGAAGGAGAAATCTTTTCCTTCCCAGCTCACGTTCAGCATGTACCTATCAAACATATTGCAACAGGTAGTGACCATCATTCAGTACGTGCATTCCCCTGCAACCTGTCTGTGTTGCCTGTAAATTCTTTCAACACTAGCAGTGCGAGTCCTGGCTCCTGTTAGGACAGCATGCAATGTTAGCAAAAGCTTCTAGTAGGAAAGGAGATTAGGCCATTCTGGGATTCTTATGTGAGCTGTCACTGTGTGAATGTATGTGAATTATGTGGATTGTGCTACGACTGGATGTCAGGGGAAGCTGAGCCAAGGGAAACTTTGCAAAAAAAAAATACACATTGATCTTGTTTCCAACCACTGAGTCAGTCACCTAGAGAGAGGCAAAAGATTCAAGAGAATTAACCCTCCCCCCAAAAAAATGTCACAGAGGCAAATATCCACAAATTAATTTTTTACTCGCTTAAACATAAATTCTGGTCAAAGGCAGATGGGAGCAGTCAATTTGTACAGAATTGCCCGGCCCTGACATCAGGAATGGAGCCCTTGGTAGTTGTAATGGCATCGACCTAATGCAATGAAAAGAAATTACCCCAAAAGTGTGTATGTGTTCGTGTGTGTGAGTGTGAGAGAGGGAACAATAGGAACATTCTATTAAATCATGGCTGATCTGTAGCTCAACAACAATTTCAATTGGAATTCTCTATGCCCACTGGCTATTACTGTCCTCTTGCCCCCAGTCATATTCACTGAGCTTCTCAATTGCCTGCTTTGGGTGTCACATATTGCTGTCACCAGCCTGCACTTACCTGACTCGCCAATCGTTTCCTTCCTTCTAATTAATAATAATCCTTGCATTTCATACAGCGCCTGACGTCTCAAAGCCCTTCATAAAAATGTACTGTGAAGTGCAGTGACTGCGTATTTTGCGGGCGAAACGCGGCGGCCAATCGCGCACAGCAATGTCCCACAAACCGTCGCAGTGACCAAATTATCATTTTTTTAAAAAAAAGGGATCATTACCCCCGGAAAGCGATCTTTCAATCGACTAACAACCGGGTTCCTACTTACTGCTGGATAAACAGAGGCGTGTGCGTGAAGTAAGGAAACTTGCCCAACGTTTCCATGTGCAGTGGGGCCCCATACCGACACATGCGCTTGAGCTCATAGCTCCCAAAAAGCCATTACCTGTAAAAGGCGTTGTTGTAGAGGCCTCCCAGGCTCCTGCAGTCGGAGCTCAGGTCAGGGATGTATCCATGTTCACTGAAGAAGCTGTCCACGCCTTTCGCGACTATGGCCACACCGTCCCGCACCCTCTGTCGCAAATTTGTGTTCCATCGGTCGGTCATGATCCCGATTAACCCCACGGGGAAGCTCTTCGCCACCTGTTCCGTGTTGCCCACCGTGACGCTGGGCACAATCCAGATATAGCCAGGCCCCACCAGCCCAGCCTCCTCAGCCTCTTCGAAGAGGTACTCCGCTTCCTCCCGCGAGCAGTAAAGAAGCAGGACTTGAGCGTCGATCTGCTTCAGGAGCCTCTGGGTTTTGGAATTGTTCTCGTCTCGCGTCATCTCGAAGGTAAGGGTCTGTTCGATTTCCCACCCAAAGTAGCTGGTGCCGGTGAACAACTTGATGTAGTCGATAAACTCCTGGTACCCGGGGAAGAGGCTGGTGATGATGGCAAAGGAATTCCAGTCATATTCTTCCAAGACTTTGAAAATGACGCTGATCTGTTGTTCTATTGAAGCCCCCAGCTGCAGGAATGCAGAGTGTTGCTCCTAGAAGTGAGAGGAAATTAATTTACCCATGGACTGAAAAGGCACACACCACAAATGTTACAGTACATGGCTTGGGGCGCGGGGGAGGGGGTTGGGGTTGGGGGTAGCTGGGATTCCTGCTGAGAAAAGTGGGGCTGCAATGCTGCAGATGTGTGTGTGGTGGAGGGGTGGGGGGGCTCTCGATAAGGAAGGTGGGGTCTTGCTGAAGTGGGGGACAGAGAGGCAGAGACTAGACAGGGAGGTAGAGTCTGGCTGTGAGAGGTGGAGTCTGGCTGTGAGAGATACAGTGCAGGGTAGATAAACAACAACAAATGACATTTGCATAGCACCTTTCACGCCAGGAGGACGTCCCAAGGCGCTGTATTCAACCTTTTGTGATCATAAACGGTTACGTACGATCACAAACGGTTGAATACTGGGGTTAGTTGCATTCAAGTCACTAGCTTATCTCTATGGCACCCCGGACTGATACTGTGAACATCAGTCAAGCTGTAAAAATATCACATAAAGGAGTTACGTGGGGAAAGATGCCAATTCAAACCCATTCAATTGCTGTTGTCCTTCACCCCTGAGGCTTAAAGGTTCACACTGCATCTGATTGCCACGGCATCTCCGGGTTTACTACCTAAACAAATATCTGTTTTATTGCTGCAAGGTTGCAGAGTTTTAAATGTTACAGCTGCTTGGTTTGTAGTTAATAACCCAGATCAATAGGAAAGTTCTGTTCTCACTTTGGCTCGGACAGGAAACCATTAACAACAGATCTCTCACAACAGTGCCCTCTACTGCTGGCATCTCGGGGGTGGATCGAGACAGGGGAGAGGGGCAGAAAATAAGAGCTGCCACACAATAGGCAGTGACTGACGGGGCAAAGTTTGTGGCTCTGGATCAGTCGCAGGGAAGACAACTTGATCCGTAGTGTTCAATCAAAGGAACATTCATAATTTCATATATATATATATATATAATATATATTTTTTGTACTTCTACATGTTTCACTGTTAAACAAGCACTGTAGCAAAGATTATTATAATCCTTGCACTTGATTTAAGGTGTATGACATTGCTATGTTGAGAAGTGCTTCACAAGGAATTACTTTCAATTATACAATCATAGAGTGTTTCAGCACAGAAGGACGCCAATAGGCCCATCGTGCCTATGCCGGCTCTTTGAAAGACCTACCAACTAGTCTCGCTGCACCGTTATAGAATTGTAGTGACTGTGTTTGTATCCAAATGCAGCAGTCACTTTTCCTCCAGCAAGGTCCCACAAATAGCTATGAGGTAAATAACTGATTAATCCGAAATTTAACAGGCGGTTCTGCTGTCTCTTTGCTGATGTTTCTTATTGCACATTTCTAAGTAGCACTGCATGTTTTGTGAATCTTAACCTTAGCCATCTACTACCGTTCGAGAATCCACAACTTGTAACAATTCTGCATCAGTTTTACTGATGTGCACATGATATATCTGTGTGGCAATGCCGGGTGTATGTGTGATGGCATCCCGTGTCTCTGCACAAGGACCGCTCTTTGACTGTGTGATTTGTGAGTCTGCTTCTGGCAGGACTTGGCCCTTGTTAGGCTGTGTGATGCTGGAACAGGAAGGAGATGGAGTGATTTAACCAGTTCTGTGAAAGCCACAGTACAATGGTAGACGACCCTTTGTGGGACACTGCCACGTTTTGCCACACAAAATACGCAGTCACTCCACTTTGCAGTATATTCTGTGAAGTGCTTTGAGACTTCTGGCGTTGTATCAAATGCAAGGATTATTTATATTCTAAATACAATCAGGAACAAATCCTAGTAGGTAGGGAGATTATCTACACCCCTTGTGTCCCCCGACATGGATTATAAGTGAACTACGTACGTACTAACTGTGCAAAATTGTTAGGATTACGTAGCCAGGTTCATAGCATCTCTGGAAATCTTACGAGCAACTTTTCACACAACAGTTTTTTTTCCCCCCAATATCATCCCAAACCAAGCCCAGGGTCAATTCCTGCTTCAGAGACCATGAGGATAAAAGGACATGTGGATAAACGGCATTTTACTGTACGCTGAAACAATTTCATCCCCAAAATGCTAATGATTTGTCCTTTATGATTGCAGTATGTTGGGAGAAAATAAGAGAGAAAGAAACCTAGGAGATAGTGCTATGTGCATTCATACGTTTAGTGCACAAAGGGCCCAAAATTCAGCCTAGTCTTTGCCTGCAGGACCATTTTAATTTAAATTTTAAAATCGCGCAGAACTGTGGAAAATTCCTAAATTTCGCCTTCAATTGGAAATCGGTTTTCCACAGTTCTTAAAAACTGGCTTCCGAATTAAGACACTCTTGAAGAATTTTCCACAAATCTGCTCAGTTGCATTTTAGGACAAAATCATTTTTACAACAACAACGATAACAACTTGCATTTATATAGTGCCTGTAAGTCTCGGAGCACTTAAGTCTTACGAGCTAAGCCACGGAGAAATTTCAGGCCTCGATAAACACAGAATTCTGAAAATGCAATGAAAGCCGTCGCTTGCCTCCTTCAAAACCAGTCTCAAGACCCTCTTCTTCGACTGTGCCTTTGGTCACTCTCCTTCCCACCCTGCACCCCCCCACCCTGCCCTCCACACTCCCGATCGCGCTGATTGTCCAGCGCCTTGGGACGTCCTCCCGACGTGAAAGGCGCTGTACAAATGTAATGTTGTTGGCCCCCGCATTCTGTAGTGTGACTGACCTTTGGAGCGAGGACAGCGGCAGAGCCTCCACTGATTCCTATGATCGGAATCAAAGTTTGTGCGGAGATAAAGTCCAGGATTTGTGCCACGGCGTCTGACTCAATATTATCCTCAAAGATCACACCGTGGATGCTTGAGCTGGACAGCACCCCGCAGATCTGAGTCAGCAGGCTGCTGGGGTTGGTGTTGTTGACCACCTCGATGATCGGGTTGATTTGCAGAGGAAGGCCTTGAAAGACGTCTCGGCTGAATTGTCCCTTGATCTCCAAACTGTACCAAGAGCCTCCGAGCACAACGGCGACGCTAATGGCGGGACGGCTGGGGTCCCTGGAGAAGGCGCACTCCACCGCAGAAACGACAAAGAAGATCTTGAGGATTCTCTCCATGGTTGTCGGTTTGCTTGAGAGCTCGCTCGCTGAGGAAAGGCAAGCAAGGGGCAGCCAATTACCACAATTCTTCTTTAACCCTCACGCCGCTGGTTTGTAAACCATCGTTGCATTAGGACCCAAAACACCATCATCGACAACAACAACAACAACAACAGCTTGCTTCTACATTGCTTCCTGCATGCATGGTGGCATCTAGGAGTATTTAAGAACGGTGCAGTTAGCTGTTGTAAGAGATGTCCTCGGTGTGAAAGCTGCCGTACCAAATGCAAACGCTATTATAAAGATTACTATTGTGTTGAAATGTCTCAAAGAGCTTTAGAGGTAATTGCTGACAGGGCTTGCGGTCCATTGAACAACAAGTAGTGAGTAAGCTAAAGCCCGCACACTGGTTCCCGCTGACACCCCAGAAGGTTGGATTAAACCTGTGTGTTCTTTGTACGATTCGGTTGTCACATTTAGTCAAGAAAAAAGAACTCGCAATTTTAAAGTGCCTTATGTGTCAAACCATCTCACAGCACATCAATAATTTCCATCCACTTTAGTGATTATTGTAGTGCAGGCTTTATGTGAACCGCCAAATCATACAAACAACACGAGGAGGATGAGAATGACCAATTATTCTAGGTGTTTGCTGGCCACTCGCTTTCATACCGCTCCGAACATTTGAAATAATTGGAGGCGATTTCCTGTAGAATACCAACTATTACTGGAGTCTCAGCTCATGTAATGCAGGAATTTAGGCTGTAATCCTCCCGGCTATTGGGAGACCACAGAACCAAAGAGGTGAGATCATTTGGCCCATCTGGTTGTTTGAACAGTTCTATCCCATAATCCTTCCGCCTCACTCCCTGCCTTGCCTCCTTCAAGGTCCATCCTCAAGACCTGCCTCTTTCACTGCACCTTCTGACACTCTCCTACCCCCATCCTCCCTGCCCTCCACCCTTCCTGATTCCAACCCCCAGCTCAGGTGCAAATCCTTGATTGTCCAGCGCCTTGGGACGTCCTCCCGACTTGAAAGGTGCTATACAAATGTAATTTGTCGTTGTTTCATTGTCCTGCTTTCCCCAAAATTATTCTTTTTCAGATACTGATCTAATTCCCTCTTAAAAACTATCATGGATTCTCCCTCCACCTCCATTCTGGGTAAGGCATTCCACTTACCCTCTGTTTAAAAAAAATCCTAACCTCTCCCCTTGGCTCTTTTAGTGTTTCCTTAAATCTATCTCCTCTACTTATTACGTTACTTATTCACTGACCAGTGGAAATAATCTCCCCCCCATTTAGTTTATTAAGAACACTTTAAAAGCTTTCCTGTCAACCTTTTCTGATCTAGCAAAAACTAGACACCAACTGCAACCTAATTCATGATTTGTACAAGTTTCGCATTACCCCTCTGGTTTTACATCCTGTAAGATTTTGAATAATTAAATAGCTGAGTGTTCAGAATTGGCATGAGGCTTGCAGGTCTGCCATTTGACAGCTTGTCCAAGCCACTAACTTAAGGATCTGAGTCACATTTGCTAACTTCAATCCTTTTGGATTCATTCCGCATCAGGAAATATTCTGAGGAGCTCCAGGAAAATGAGCATCCAGGAAGTATCGCTCAGTGAGATGACTCACTGTCAACAGCGTCAATTTCCTTGGAACTTTGGGATGAACATTGCTAGATCGCAAGCCTAATCTACCTCAGTACCTGCAACCTTCTCAATAAATCCGCTCTTGAGAAGTTAAAAGTTTTACGTCTACACTCACCTTGAAACTGTATCCCGCCGAGAGGGGTTATTCCATTCCCATCTACACAGAATGGGGGAAGAATAAACTCCTGTACCAGGGATCGCGAGACTGGCTTGAATTGTCCATTTAGCAGCAGGAGTTAAAGCCAGACTGGACTGGAATCTGTGTTAAAAGAACAAACTGGTTTCTTATTAGCACAAATGCACAATGATGTCAATGTTAAATACAGAAGGAAAGAGAGAGAGAGACAGAAAGAGAGAGAAAGAGAGAGACCGACAGAAAGATTACGTACAGTAAATGGTTTACATCAATGAATCACCAAGAAATCAACATCACTGCACAGATGGGTAGACAGAATACATGGAGGTAGATGAGGATTGAGAGAGGTAGAGCAACGGAGGGAAGGAGCTGAAGAAGGGACATGAACCCACTTCAATATGTTTGAACTCAGTTGGGACTTTGCTCCTCGATTCCCGATTTGCTCTCAGACGTCAACGATAAAAGCAACGCACGGGCTTCCAGCAGCAAAATGTGAAATGCATAGTTTTGAAACAAACGCCAAGCTGTTCACAGCCTGATCTCAGGAAAACATGGCTTGGGTCCAGCCAGATCAAGCCAACCAAATTGGGATTAACTACGTTTTATTTTTGATCTGTCTCTCTGCCCACACTAAAACCAGCCTGTTGTATAATCTTTCGAAATGAAAGCTGGAAGTGTCCCGGGTCTGAGAGATGACAACAAGAACTTGCATTTATATCGCGCCCTTCATGTTGGACGGCGTCTCGAAGCGCTTGACAAACTCAGATTCAGATCAACTTAAACCTGCTCACACACACAAGGTGCAGAGGAAACCAGAGACTGCCCTGCTTTTGGGGAAAAGATTTAGAATTCACAGCCCAAGTGATCAACATGTATTTGGGGGCATCCTCCTCAGCTCCCGTTAACCTTGCCAGCCCAAGCCCTAACGGGTAGGGTGGTCCTAACTGGACACGTTGCGGGAAAGCTTGCCAGACAGCGATGTCAATGGCAACCTGCGCCTAATACTTTCCGGAATTAGGTAAGCAGGGTGCGTCCCTCCAGGGGGAGAGAGCGCATTCCATGACTCTATCTCTGGAATTTCCATGTGTTGGTGGGATGCATGCAATTCTCAGCTTGGTGTGGATACTCTTAAGCAAAGTGATGGGTTTTCGCACTTGTCAGACACCCCTCCACCCCCCCCACCCCCACCACCAAAAGGATTTGAAACATATCAAATTGCCGTGAAAAATTAAAATGCATGGAGCTCCAAATTTTTTTTTGCCATTGTATGACTCCTTCAACAAATCAGGCTGAGGGCGAGAGAGAAAGAGAGAGCAAAAGTGAAGTTGTATTTGTTTGAAACGTCTCGAAGAGCTTCACAAAATAAATACAGTCAAAGTACAGCGGCTATTTTTGTAGGCAATTGTGACAGCCATTGGTCCAGAAAGTATACACGAGCAGCTGTGATGTGTGACTGTCCAATTACTGTAATTGGAAGGCTTGTTGGCCAAGGCATTGGAATAAACTCTTTCTTTTTGAATGCCATCGTGGGATCGTTTTAATGCCCACAATAAGATCAGGCAGGTGTTGGTTTATTGTCTTAGCCCTCCATGGAATCACTCTCCATCTCATGGAGCCAATCCGGAACCTCGACATCCCGTTTGACCCCCAACTGTCCTTTATACCCCACATCCATGCCATGACCCACTCCGCCTTTCCCCACTTCCGCAACATCGCCTGGCTCTGCCACTGTCTCACACCGCAGGCCGCCGAGACCCTCATCCACGCATTCATAACATCCAGGGTCGACTATGCAAACTCATTGCTTATCGGCCTCCCGAATTCCTCCCTCCACAGGCTGCAGATCATCTAGAACTCTGCAGCCCGTGTCCTCTCCTGCACCAGGCTCTGTGACCCTATCACCCCCATCCTTGCCCGACTCCACTGGCTTCCCATCACACAAAGGATACAGTTCAAGATCCTGGTCCTCACTTCCAAAGCACTCCATGGCCTTACTCCCCTCTGCCTCTGCCACTTCCTAATCCCCTACCAACCTGCCTTCTCCCGCCACTCAGCAGGCTCCGGCCAGCTTCACCTCACCACCATTGGCGGACGGGCCTTCAGCCACTCTGCCCCACCCTCTGGAACTCCATCCCGCAATCCCTCTTCCTCACTTCCTCCGTTGCCTCCTTCAAGACCGGTCTCAAGACCCTCCTCTTCGGCCGTGCCTTCGGTCACCCTCCTTCCTCCACTGCCCACCACCCTCCTCAATTCCAATCCCCAATTCAGGTCTGAAACACTAATTGTCCAGCGCCTTGGGATGTCCTCCCGACGTGAAAGGCACTATACAAATGTAATTTTGTTGATGTTGTTGTTGCTAGTAGGGTACCAAGAGATTTTTATTCGGTAGCTAGTCCTTTCTGGACAGATATTATCTGTGCCCTGTGCTCTAACTGACACTGTGAGGCAAGGCATGTTTAACAATTGTTAGCCCTTGCCTGGGACTCCATCCTGTGCTGAAGATGTTGTCACTAAACAGATCCCATTTTATTGAGTTTAAAGATTATTAAACACATCCTCTCCCTGAACCTCAGCCAAACCGACCTCCACAGGCTATGGCCACCACACAGAGCTGTTCCACGCCAAATTAAAGAAATGATTTGCCAAACGTTTGGTGCTGAGAAGATGAGCGCTGATTGTTTATTTCATTTGGCCAACAAAATATACGGTCAATTCGCTTTACAGTGTATCCTTTGAAGCGCTTTGAGACGTCTCAGAGATGTGATAAGGCACTATATATAATGCAAGGATTATTATCGTTATTATTATTATTAGATTCTGTTGCTTGGATACAACAGACTGCTTGGACCAACGAGCGATTCTAATCTCTGAGCCCTGATGCGTAGCAAGCAATCACAGCTCACAGAGATTGATACTCCAATTATAATAATCCTTGCATTTATTATAGCACCTTATCACGTCGTTGAGATTCCTCAAAGCGCTTCACAGAATGTACTGTAAAGTGAATTGACTTGAATTGGCCAAATTAATCAGCAGTGAAGTATCTGAATAACATCCACCCTCCCAATTGTTCTGAGCTTTAATCCCTTTATTTCCAGAGGTTTTAATTCTTCGGGGGGGGGGGGGGGGGGGGGGGGAGGGGAATGGGGTCCGATGGGGCTATCGGGATTCTTGGATTGAATGCAGGTTTTCAC